AGGTGTGGTGTGGTGTGGGTATGTTCATGCATGCGTCGTTGATACCTCTCCATCACGACGAGCTAGGAGGGGCAGCACGGGTGTACAGCCCAAGCCCGAGCCAGGAGGAGTGGTGCATCCCGCCTATGACCATGAGGTGCGCGCCCTTGCAATGCAAGGTGAGGTGAGGTGTGGTGTGGTGTGGTGTGGTGTGGTGTGGTGTGGGGGGTGCGCTAATGCTCTGATGCTGCACACAACTGCATTGGTTGATGCTCTACCTCTCCTCTCCTCTCGCTCTCCCCTCTTTCTCCCACCAGGGTCCGGGACCTCTTTGACTTCCTGCCGCTCTCCAATCAGCATGCGCCACCGTTGCGACCCAACTTCGACTCCCCGTGAGTCACCTGGAGGAGATGCTTCTCCTTTGGGCCATTGGTACATGCCCGCCCTTGGCCAGGGCCCTGCCCTTTATTTATTTATTCCCACCCGCTTCACTCTACCTGTACAGTCTTCAGTCCTTGCTCCACTTGGTTCACCCCTTCTTCCATTTCCCCCCCCCTCTCCATGCATCCCTGCGCCCCACGCCCTTTCTCTCCCTCCTATGACCAGCCTGTGCTGCATCCGCCGCACTCACCAAGTGCATCTCCGCTGCTCCTTACGCTGCTGTGCCTCGTGTCCCCAGCACTGTGCTCCCCCTCGCCCCCCCTTCCGATTCCCCACCCTTCCCCTCCCTCTTCTCCTTCCACCCCCCCTCCCTCTCCCTTTTCCTCGTCCAATTCCCCTCCCCTCCCTCTTCCCCTTCCCTATCAACTCCCCCTCCGCCTTCCCCTTCCCCTCCCTCTTCGACTCCCTCTCCTCCTTCCCCGTCCACTCCCTCCCCGCTCCCATCCCCTCCCTCCCTCCCCCTACTCCAGCGACTTTGCTCTCCCTCGCTGGTCTTTGCTGTGCCTCGTAACGCCAACAAAGTGCTCCCTGTCCAATTAACGCCAACAAAGTGCTCCCTGTCCAATTAACGCCAACAAAGTGCTCCCTGTCCAATTAACGCCAACAAAGTGCTCCCTGTCCAATTAACGCCAACAAAGTGCTCCCTGTCCAATTAACGCCAACAAAGTGCTCCCTGTCCAATTAACGCCAACAAAGTGCTCCCTGTCCAATTAACGCCAACAAAGTGATCCCTGTCCAATTAACCCCAACAAAGTGCTCCCTGTCCAATTAACGCCAAACAAAGTGCTCCCTGTCCAATTAACGCCAACAAAGTGCTCCCTGTCCAATTAACGCCAACAAAGTGCTCCCTGTCCAATTAACGCCAACAAAGTGCTCCCTGTCCAATTAACGCCAACAAAGTGCTCCCTGTCCAATTAACGCCAACAAAGTGATCCCTGTCCAATTAACCCCAACAAAGTGCTCCCTGTCCAATTAACGCCAAACAAAGTGCTCCCTGTCCAATTAACGCCAACAAAGTGCTCCCTGTCCAATTAACGCCAACAAAGTGCTCCCTGTCCAATTAACGCCCCTCATTTCCCTCCTCTCCCTCTCCCTGTCGCCTCCCCTTCCCCCCCTTTCGTCCCCTCTCCCTTCCCTCTCGCTTTCTCTCTCCCTATACCTTCTCCTCACCCCCTCTCCTTTGCCCTACCCTCCCCACACAGCCGCACCACAGCAACCGCGTCCTCCCATCTCTGGAATCCAAGGTGCAAAATTTCGCCGAATTTTTCATTTTTTGGGCGAAAATTTCGCTATCGAAATTTTCGACCGAATTTTTCGATAATTTCGGTCCCCCTCCCAAAAAACAAAATGGTGGAAAATTTCGCCGAAATTTCCAGGAAAAAAATTGAGAAAATAGTGTGTAAATTGATAAAATTTCATGGGTGGACATTGTAATGGCATTACGCCGCCAGATCTAGGCGGATCTGGCATTTCGCCATTAGATCTAGGGCAGATCTGACATTTCGCCATTAGATCTGGGGCGGATCTGGCATTTCGCCATTAGATCTAGGGCGGATCTCGCCTTTCGCCATTAGATCTAGAGCGGATCTGGCATTTCGCCATTAGATCTAGGGCGGATCTGACATTTCGCCATTAAATCTAGAGCGGATCTGGCGTTTCGCAGCCAGAGAAATTTAGGCAGTGTTTTTTTTTTTTTTTTTTTTTAAGGTCTATTAAAATTTCGCCGAAATTTTACAAAAACGGCCGAAATTTTCGATCGAAAATTTCGGTTCGAAAATTTCGCTTAGCGCAATTTTCCACCTTGCTGGAATCTGCTGTGCCCCGCAACCCCAACACCGTTCCCCCCTTCCCCCTCCCCCCCCTCTCCCCCGTCCGCTCTCTCCTCCCACCCACCCCCCAACACACCACAGCAACCGTGTGTCGCCCTCACTGGACTTTGCTGTGCCGCGGGACCCCAACACGGCATATGACATGGTGGAGATCATCGAGCAGGTGGGGTGGGGTGGGATGGGGCGGGGTGGGGTGGGATGGGATGGGATGGGGTGTGATGGGGTGGGATGGGATGGTGTGGGGTGGGGTGGGGTTGTTGCATCTGCACTTGTTGTGACTGTGGGGAAGGACCCCAACACGGCATACGACATGGTGGGGATTATTGAACAGGTGGGGTGGGGTTTGTCGCACTGGGCGTACCTATACTTCTTGTGACTGTCTGTTTGCATGAGACTGCTCGGGTGGCTTGTATGTACAGAGCCCGTTTCCGCTCCCGCTTTTCCTCCCCTTCCCCGCACACCCACCCCCCTCTACGTCCTCGGCATCAGGTGGTGGACGATGGGGAGCTGTTAGAGGTGCAGGGTGGCTTTGCCCGGATGCACACTCCGCTCCACACACCACACTCTTCCTCACCACTCTCTTCCTTACGACCCTCCCCTCCTCCCGCATCCCTTGCTTCTCGCCTGTGTTGGGCATCATCAGGTGGTGGACGATGGGGAGCTGTTTGAGGTGCAGGGCGGCTTTGCACGGAACATCCTTATTGGATTCGCGGTGAGTCAATGCAGGTCGGGCAATGCTCGTCAATGCCGGTCGGTCAATGCTGGTCAATGCCGGTCGGTCAATGCTGGTCAATGCCAGTCAATCCTCCTGGTCAACAGCAGCTGGTGCATGCATTTATTCTGATGGAACACAACACAACCTCGTGTTACAACCTTGATTATCAACATCGACTTTGGTCCCCTGTTCACTTGTCTTCCTTCTTGGTCGGTCTTTTCACATCTTCTCCCCATCTTCCCCCCATGTTCCCCCCATGTTCCCACCATCTATCCCCCATCTTCCCCCCCTTGTTCGCCCCATCGCCTCCCCATGTCCTCCCCATCTGTGTGCCATCAGAGGCTGGACGGGGGCACGGTGGGAGTGGTGGCAAATCAGCCCAAGGAGCAGGCGGGCTGCCTCGATATCAACGCCTCCATTAAGGTGAATTGTGGGTCACATGCATGGTTGCACTGTTACCATGTGTTACAGCATTGCATGTTGACAAAAGGTGGTGAACAAGGAACCCAAGGAATAGGCTGGTTAGGTCCCTGTACTAAACAAGTGTTTTTCCAGGGTGGTCCAGACTCCAGCATTGCATGTGGAATCAAAGTGGTGGATCAACCCAAGGAGCACACTAGGTCACGGATGCCAAAAACGCCTCTATCAAAGTAACTCTTGGTTCTGCAAAAGCAATGTGTAGCACTATACGAATTGAACACAATACATGCGGTTCAACGTGGTGCGACAAGGTTACAATGTTAGTGGTAACAGTGAAGCAACAAAGGAATGTCTGTGTTGATACCATCCCTCGTTGACAACACACATGTGCTTCAAATCGTTATCTCTGCCCTGCATGCGCAATGTCACGGCATGTGACCAATGGCACTGGTGTGGTATGTCACAACATTGTATGGCATGGTATGGTACCACATGGCATGGCATGGCTTGCTGCGGCATGGTGTGATTCGATTGACACCACATAACTGCAGGGAGCTCGGTTCGTGCGCTTCTGTGATGCGTTCAACATCCCCATCCTCACCTTCGTCGATGTCCCAGGCTTCCTCCCAGGTATCCCTAGGCTTCCTCCCAGGTATCCCTAGGCTTCCTCCCAGGTATCCCTAGGCATGAGAAAATGGGCCCATCGGGCCAGGCGTTCTCCCAGGGACCGTGCTTCCATTACATTCCATTATTCCATGCAGCATCCATTTCAATTGAGTCGAGTCAAGGTGCCTGCTGCAACGTGTCAGGTACCTCTCATCGATGCTGTCAGGTACCGGTGTCTCGATGAAGAACGGCCCGCATGAGTTGATTCGAATCCGCTTGTGCTTGCGGTTCATGCAATGCATGTGCTGTGCAAGTCCAGATGTGTTTTGAGTCAACTTAAAACACGCCTGTCGACTTAAAACACGCCTGTCAACTTAAAACACGCCTGTCGTAGGCCTCATGCATGAGTTCATGTGTCCTGTCTGCTGTGCTTTGTGCTGTGAGCTCTGTGTGTGCTATGCTGTGTGCTGTTGTGGACAACAGGCACGGAGCAGGAGCACAACGGCGTCATCATGCAGGGGGCGAAGCTGCTGTACGATTCACGTGTGTTCTGAGCAATCGTGTGATACATGTGTGTTTTGTCTGTGTGTCTCTGAATGCCCACACGTCTCTTTCTGCTGCTGCAGGCACGGAGCAGGAGCACAACGGGATCATCAGGCAGGGGGCGAAGCTGCTGTACGCGTATGCAGAGGCCACGGTTCCGAAGCTCACTGTCATCACTCGCAAGGCTTATGGAGGGGCATACGATGGTGAGCGAAGCAGGAAGAGGCGTTTGGGGGGGCATATGCGTGTATGTGTGTGCTATATGATGTCCAATTGTGTGTGTGCTATATGATGTCCAATTGTGTGTGTGCTATATGATGTCCAATTGTGTGTGTGCTATATGATGTCCAATTGTGTGTGTGCTATATGATGTCCAATTGTGTGTGCTATATGATGTCCAATTGTGTGTGTGCTATATGATGTCCAATTGTGTGTGTGCTATATGATGTCCAATTGTGTGTGTGCTA